ATATATATATATATATATATATATATATATATATATATATATATATATATATATATATATATATATTTATGTTTTAGAAAATTACCGAAAATTGCTAAACACTTAATATTGATTGTCAATAATATTTTAATAAAAAAGGTAATAAAAAAAATAGTCTTATTGTTTTACGAGAAGAATGTTGTCAATATAATTAATTGTTATAATTATAATTAATTAAACATGAACAAATGTGAAATAACATATCTTTATATATTAATAAAAGCGAGTAATTTACCGAACTGCTCGCTTTGATTGGCAGATTTCCAACAATCTTAATTGTAACCGAGCCCGCAACCTGTAGTTCAATACAGACTTTATAGTAGTCATTTCAAAGAATATATTGATGCAGTATGAAAAGAGAGAATTGATTTATTTATTTTTAATATGTTTAACATTTATTTACACATTACGCTTCCCATCATGCCTCAGGTTCCCTTATGATATGTTATATGAAGAGAAATCGCGTTAACGATATAAAATCGCGCACAATTTAAAATCGCATTTGCGATGCAAAATTGCGCACGACTTAAAATCATATTTATATACAAGATTGTAAGGCGATACATCACATTCATTGCGAAAAAATATCGCGGATCGCGAATACACACAATTTCATAAATCACACATCCCCATTTACTGAGATCGAAGATCGAATTTCGACGGCGGGAGGTGTCGCACATTGTTGCGCATTACCTGTTTTCATGAACATTAGACATTTTATGTGGAACTTAAATTAATAAATTTCTTTTTTAAATTAAAATTATAATATCTAAAGTATAAGAAAATACCTAAATATCACGAATTTCTGATCAAATAATGGCCTGACAGTGTGAGAAACATGACCGCGTAAAGAGGACTATTTTGTGAATAAAAATATATATATATTAGAAGCTCAAGTTTTTTATAGTAAATAAGTGGTTAATAAGTAGTTAAAAAATTGAATTTATACACTAAGAATTATCTGTGTATTGGCCTTTTAATAATCTAGTATTGGTTCTCATATATCTCGATACTATTTACACACACATCACATAATTCAAATTACTGACAATCCCGTACAATAGAAATGTTGATATAAGTTACATCCATTGCGTTCCATTGTGTTAATTTTCGCACATATCATAAACTATAAGTGTTATTTATAGGAGAAAAAAAGAACATACTGCGAAAATGTGCACTTAAGCGATTTCAAAATAAAAAACTATAACCAGAATGCAAGCTCCAGGCACGACTGCTGGCCGCTCAATTCACTCGCGAGCGCTTGTGCGTTAAGTGAGCAAATTTAAGCGGCTAAATTTAAAGTTTTACACACATATATTATCTGCTAAAAATAATGTTTGCATATTGTCACAAACTAAATCGAAACGATAAATATAGCGAAAGAAAAATAGCATATTAAATAAAGAAAAAATCCTGTTATTCTCACCAATATTTTCTTTTATTATCATATTTACCTTAATTGATATACCCTCCCTCCTTCTTTATTCTTTCAAATTATGGTGTATAGCTATATGCAAAACATTACTTGTAATGTATAATATGTGTGTGTAAAATTGTAGATCGATATCTTGAATAGATTTCAAGATTTTTGTCTCGAAAAGTGAGTGCTGCGCAACACTGCGTCGTCGCGTGATCCTCCGCATTCTAGCTGCGGATACAACAGCCGAATGATGTGCAGCGCAGCGCAGTGCAGCGCGAAGAAAGTCGAGTGCGCTTCTATATATATGTTACCTAACGAGAGACGTAGCCCGTTATTACGTACAATTATTATTTTAATTTATCTCTCTCTCTCTCTCTCTCTCTCTCTCTGTCTGTCTCAGAGTACTCATGCGTACGCGCGCTCGTTGCTCTCGCGGCAAAAGGTTCTCCACCTACTTATAAGCGACGCGAATAAACGCCCGCGAGCTCAAGGAGCGACGGCGCGATCGCCGATCGGGAGCCCGTGATTAAATTCTCGTCAGGCAAAAATCGCCGCCGATCGCCGCGAATAATTGACGACCGCCTCCGTCATTTTCGGATTTTTCACGACAAGTCGTTAAGTCCGAATCACGCGACAGATCGCAAATTGGAGCCCGACCTTGAGCCGAGCGCGGTTTCAGACTACTGTACCGCATTGTTCTTCTTCGTTTTCTTTTTCATTCTCTTCAGAGGATGAAAATGCGCGGCCATTTGTGGTAGACATGGATCTTCATTAACAGATCGCTGATACATAAAATAAAATGTTACATATCGAATTGTCAAGAATTGTGCCATCAATTTGTATGACTCTTAATTTGTAGATTTTTTTTACACATCTCTGAATTTCTATAATTTAGAACGAAATACGGAACATCTGATGTTTTATACTTTCAACTTCTGCTTTTTTTTATTTGTTATTTTTATTATTCCACTGAAGGTAATAGACGTTTTGCTTTTCCGCGTAATAGTATTTATTTATACTTTTAAGATCTTGGCAACAACAACATGGTTTCTTTTATTCTCCTACCATAAATGTAAGGCATTATGGCGTAATACATTGAAGTTTATATAGTAGGGTTTGTTTTATATTTAATACAAACATTGTTTTCTTATTAAATGTGTATTGTTCTAACAAAGATGTTTAGCTCTAAGACTTGGTCTACAATATGTGATGTAAAAAGTAAGAGTAAAAATAAGAAATAAAAATAATTTCGCTTACGCCTATATTTTAACTCCCTTACACTGGAAGTATTTCAGTTAAATAAACACTTCTGGTATAAAAGTTAAAGTTAAAGTACAGCCAGATATATAAACAAAATAAATTTCTATTATACTTCTATTTTTTACTTTTACACTTACTTCTTACACCAAGCTTACTCTATATATTGTAGACTAAGCCTTAAAGTCTGTTTACACCATAACATTGCTGATAACGTATAATTTTAACAATTATCGACAAGTGAAGAACAATTATTTTAAGTTGTTGAAAATAATTGTTTCCAACAAGTTATCAAAATAAGTTAGTCATATTTTGCTATTGACTTTATTATTTTGGAATAAAAAATATTGATAACACCTGTCTTCAACATTTTTTCGGCCTTTATTTGCCTTTATATTTCTTCTAATTGCATTGCACATCTGAGGAGAGCCTTTGTATCTTATTTACGGCACATCCTATACTTTTATGTTCACAGACAGAATAGATGTTTTCTTTTTTTTGGAAAATCAGTCACGAACGCGCGAGTTGAGTCCCTTTCTTTCTTTTTTTTCCCCCTTTTTTGCAACATATCCATCCGTCGAGAAGCTTTCGCGGCTTCGACTCGCCGCGTCGACGTCCGTGGCAGAAAAGGAGAGTAATCGGACCACGCCTGGCCACCACGGGCGACCTTGAGGGATCATCACGCCCTTCTCTGCGACCGTGTGTTAATGCACTGTACTACACGTCGCAACAAAGCTCCATTGGTCGGCGGCCGTCGAGGAAAGAAACGGAAAAAGAAGAAATCGCCTAGCATGCGTACGTTTTCCGCTCGAGACAAGGCGACGCCCTCCTCGAAGGTGCTCTAAGAAGGTGCAAAAGGGGGGACACCCAAGAGGGAGGTGGAGGTAAGGAGACTCGGTACCCCGTCGGGATTCCTTACTCCTATATAAGACGTACCACGTCGTATTTTGGAGTATTATCGTACTGACTGCAAGCCAGACGGACATACAAGCTACAACATGTTCAAGCTGGTAAGTTGAGCGACGTTTTTAATAAGACTTGAGGCCGTATTCTTGACGCCGTATATAGAACGCTAAGTGCGCCTTTGTGATTCTCAAGATAAACAAGCTTATACGAGACGTTCATATAAGAAAAATTGAACTTAAAATAAAAAGAAGGCAAATATTTTTTACTTAAGAATACGGCTCTTAGGGTCGGTTCATCCAACCTCTTGTTAAGCTAACAGTTAAATCTTATGTCTGTTTCTACCTAATTTGAAGGAGACACAAAGACAGACGTATGAGTTAACTGTTAGTTAGCTTAGCAAGAGGTTGGAAAAACCGGTCCTTAGGCTCGTATTCTGGATATGGAGCACCAAATATATTTTTCTAATTCTGAAACAACGTTGTACGTGACGTCTAAGAAGAATGAAATTTGGGATTAGAAGGGCGTACTTAACATTCACTATACTTCCAAAATCTATTTTGCGACACTGGTCTCTCTCTCTCTCTCTCTCTCTCTCTCTCTCTCTCTCTCTCTCTCTCTCTCTGGTTTACTTTCTTCTCCTGTTTTTATACTTATATTAGCGTTTTATTTACTAATTATTGCATCTTGTATTTTTATTACTGTATGCCTGAAGAGGTTCCCCCCGTTTTGTCCCAGGATTAAATGAAATCTATCTATCTATCCATTTCTCTCTCGCGAAGGATTAAATTTGCTCATATCTGTTTCCTCACGCAAAATAAATACGAGAAACGCGATTAGTCCGTATCGCTTCTACACGTCAGCCGGCTCGATCGTTCGTATCTTCCAATTTAACATTAGATCCGCGCAAAATGTCGTGTGTGATCCTTTTGCAAATGCATCCTCACAGAAAGCCAGTCCACGCTGGTCTGAAAAATTCGTATGTTTTAAATATGATCCCGTGCAGACAATCGTCTCTTGTAAACGTGAATCTCGTTTAAATACACTGATAAATTCACTGATATCCTGAAAGAAAGTTCTGAACATCTTACGTATTGCAAGACGACCTTATACAACACAGATGCAACGAAAAAGAGATCGTCCAATTATCTTTAAAGTAAAACACGCTGAGAAAAAAACGGAAGAAATCGTTATATTGTAATGATTTATCTTAGATGCCTAAGAAAGAGTCATTTTGACTTTTTACTTAATTGTCAGTGTTATAAAGACAGCGTACAAACTATTATTTCAAATTTTAATAATTATTTTTAATTAAACTAAATAATTAACTATTATTTTAATTTTTTAATTTTGATTAAGTTTATACTTCATTCTGTGTAAATTCATTAGTCATTTTGTACTAATTATAGACAACACATAAAGTAATAATTATGATGCATTTTACTTAAAAAAAACTATAAGTTTGGAGAAATTATGAAAATTGTTGTAATTTATTTACAATATAAAACTGTATTTTGTATAAATTGTGTTCTTAGCATGTTCAGAAGTCATTATTGAATAATGAAGAACAAAGAAAGTTTTTAAGATATTTTAGAATTATAAGGAGTCAAAATGACTTTTTTGGGCATCCAAAAGGAGTTGTCTTTTTCGAGTATTCTAGTGTTAACTCTTTCTCTTGTTGAACCGGACACAGAGCTCTGCTTCTCAAGGCGCGACAGTAACAGTACGATCGGCGTTTGTTTGTTGCTTCAAATTAAGTAATTATATTTACGTTACGTGTAAAATAAAATAGATAATAAATTAGTAAAATTTATATTTATAATATCGAAATGAGTGTACAAAGTACTATTTAGCAATGACAAACTGCTTCGCGACAACTAAATCGTATTTATGTATTCTTATGTCAAACACAGGCAAGACAGTCATAATAGTCATATCGCTGACGCCTCACCTCTTGTTTGCAATAAAGTTAAAGTTGTATTACCTACGGAATTTCAGTGCAATTTATTGAGGAGAATCATTTTTGTATTTGGGGTCTTCTAATTTAACAATCTCTTAGCAGAAAGCTAATGTAATGTCTTAAAAAATGTTTTGTCTTAAAAAATCGCTTATCGAGATAATATAGTGGCAAATGAATAACTTAACGAAAGTATTAATAAACAGATTCCAGTAACTTAACGAAAGTATTAATAAACAGAAAAGTTCCATCCCGAGGAATTTTGTTCATTGCCTTTGTCCTTTTTGGTAAAAGTCATTTATAGAAAATTTAAAACTGATGAGAGTGTAAGATGATAACTGTAAATAGTTAATTGCGGGAGAATAATAATGTTTCTCTAGTTAGACCAATGTGTTTTGTAATATTGCATGTAGATTTCAAATTAATTATCATATATAATTTGAGAGAGACAAAGGGATTAATGTTTGGAATGAAATCGAAGTACAGGATCAATTTGACGTAAAGAAGTGACTAATTGTTAGTGCACTGCGCATGTTAAAAGATTAAGAAATTTTTGACACATGCATTATTTCGTCACTATTATTCTTCTGTGTAATTAACTATTTGCAACTATCATTCCGTGTTGGCTTCTATTTATGCATTACATCATCGGCTTCGAATTCCTGGAGTTGGGAAATCTAAGGCTCGTATTAATAGTTGTTATTTGAAACTCGTCTCTTGTGAGATATTTAGATTTAAATTCAGAGTTAAATAAAAGTTCTTTCGTTCAGACGAGAAATACAATTAATAGTCGTTGCTTGAAACTTGTCTCAAGTGAGATACACTCATATTCAAATTTAGAGTTAGATAAGAGTTTTTCAGTGGAATTGCGATTGCAAATATAATGTAATATATATCATGTGTTTCAACTGAAAAATTTTGACTTAACTTTAAATACAGTTCTGAGTATCTCACGTGAGGCATATTTTAAATAACGACTATTAATACAGGCCTAAATGTCACTTACATCATATAATTGAATTGAAAATTTTGGATCTAACTGTGAATAAAAATTGAAATATCTCATACGCGAGACAAGTTTCATGACAATTATTAATACGAATCTAAATGTCTGAATATTAACTCTTTGCAATTCTATGTCGATTCTACAGCATTGTGTTTCGTTCTAATCGACTCTATAAATCAACGTTTTATTTATTAATGGTATTTTCAATATATATAAATGTTAGAGATATCTATCAGTAATAAAGTATAATAATGTAATATATTTAAAAAATTGTAGACAAAGTTTTATTTTCTCATCAATAACATGATAAGTCGAATACCTCATTCAAATAGCGCATTAAGAAAAAAGTATTGTTTATATACTACACAGTTTAAGCAAAAACTGATAAGAATAAGAGTTTTGTAAATATTTGGTTGCTTAATATATTATTGCAAAGAATATGTTATTGCATTAGTTGAATACTGAAATATTGTAACAAATACAAACTAAGCGACATTGTCACGAAAGAAATTTTTACGTATTGGTTGAGATGTACAGGAATTTTTACGTATTGATTGAGAAAAAAAGTCGGGAACAATACGGACCCGCAAAGATTAATCGTTGATCTTCGTCGGTAAGGGTGGTTCATAAGTCGGTTAGCATTTCAAATTTCCTAGAGACTTAGTACAATCTACAAAAAGAATGTTTAACATATATCGTCTATGAAAGGAATTTTTTACATCTGCAACCGACTTTCCGACTACCCACACTGAGAGAAAAATGTTTGGTATTTGTAACTATAATCATATAGAGAAATTATGGTCAAGACATTTTTTAGTCAATTGCACTATAATTTCAATGATAATAATCTTATATGCATGTTACTACTACTATCTTCGTGTTGGAACAACCAAAAAATATAGTTGGCACCAAATTGCGCCCAACTACATTTTTTGGTTGTTCCATCACGAAGATAGTAGTAGTAACATGCATAATATAAAGTTATCACTAAAATTATAGTGCAATTGACTAAAAAAATGGTTGTCTTGACCATAATTTATAGTAATTACTTCTCTATATGATTATAGTTACAAATACCAAACATTCTTTTCTCAGTGCAGTGTTTTATACCGCCGACATCCAGCGAGTGCTGTGTATGTGTGTGTGAACGCTGAGTCTTTCACGTCGGGCATTATTCCCGCAGCTCTGCTTCCTCGCCTTCCTGGCATTCGCCGCGGCCGCGCCTGCGCCCGCACCCGCACCCGCTCCGGGCGCGATCATCGGCGCCCCGCTGGTCACGTCTTACAACGCGCCCATTGTCTCCGCGCCGTTGGCCTACAGCGCCTACAGCCTGCCGACTTACAGCGCGTACTCGGCGTACCCGGCCTTGCCGTACGCGTACAAGAGCTACGCGGCCTACCTCGCCTAAGAAGTAATCGCCACACCGGGACCAGAGACACACTACCGCATCAGGACCAATCATCTAGGACCACCAGCCCACCAATCGATCGATCCAGCACATCGTGCGCGAGATCTCCTACCGAAAGCCGATCGTCGGATATCCGCCTCGCGTCTCTCACCCTCTTCATTTTCCCCCGTGCCCGATCCCAACTCTTTCTTCATCCGTTCGAATAATCCGCATTCGCATTCATGAGACTCAGGATCAATAAAACCGCTTAAAAGCAATTCCGTGCGTACTTCTTGCTCGATCACACCTCCATTCCACTTACACACAGAAAAATAGTTACTGTGTTTAATGTTACTTGTTATTGGGAGTACAAATTAGTTTGGTCCGTTTTTTTGTGGTCAAAAATGCATTTATTTCAGAACAAAACGAATGAACAGATTAATCAAAGTATTGTCCATCGTTGGCTACTATTTTTTACCACCTCTCAGGCAATTTTCGAATTCCATCTCGAAAAAATGTCTCGTCTTTTGAGGCGATCCAAGTTAGGGGCCAATTTTCGATTTCTGCGAAAGAAGTGAACCGGTGACCTGCCAAATCGTGCTGCATCCGTCGGAACAACCAGTAATCAAATGGAGCAATCAAGGAGCAACGTCCGGCGAATACGGCGGGTGCGGTAAAATATCCCACTTGAGCGTTTCCAAATAATTTTTTACGACTTTTGCGACATGAGGCCGAGCGTTATCATGCAGAAGAATAACTTTGTCATGTCTTTGCTCGTATTCCGGCCGTTTTTCTCGTAATGCACGGCTCAAACGAATCAATTGTTGCGTAACTCCCAATGATTCTGCAAGCTCCTCTTGCGTTTGACTCGGATCTTCATCGAGTAATGCCTCCAATTCTTTGTCTTCGAATTTTTTTGGCTGTCCAGAGCGAGGCTTGTCTTCAACGCTGAAATCACCATTCTTGAAACGTCGAAACCATTCCCTACATGATTTATCAGTTGGAGCATTGTCACCATAAACTTCTACAAGCATTCGATGCGCTTCAGCTGCACTTTTCTTTCAATTAAAGCAGAAAACTAAAACCTCCCGCAAATGCTGCTTAGTTAACACAAAATTTGACATATTCAACACAGTAAAAAACAGGGGTTTTGTATGAAACTCAAAGCGATATAAACTGAATATTATTGACAGATGTCTAACCTCTCTGAAACCACCGAAATCAGCTGTCACTATGAAACATTTATAACAGCCAGAGCTATCTTTTGAAAACGGACCGAACTAATTTGTACTCCCAATACTTGTTAAGATTATCCGCAAATTCATCATAAGCTCTTCATAAGCTTCAAAGTGTGTGGTCAAGTTTGGCCTACTTTATCCAGAATGAAGTTTTGAATTCAAATTGGCCTTATTTTGTAGCTTTTGGCGAGCTGATTACGAATATGCAAGTTCCAAGATAGACCAACGTGCCGTTCCAGAGAAAACGGCCCATTTACGGTTGCATTCTGTTAAATGGCGCTACTCATTTTTACAAGATATAAACGTGAATTTGCAATGCGATTTATTTCTTGATAGCTTGCGTTTGACTTTACTGATGGTTTTAAAATGTAATCAACCAGCCAACTGATTTAATTTGGCCGTGCCAATTGTCTGAGAATCTACTAGAATCCATCGGACACTTTTGAGATCCAATTCAATCATCTTTTTGCCAGAGACAACACTTGGAAAGTCGTTGCGACTGGTTGAAGATGAAGATGATTTTGTCATTGCAAAGTACTACAGTTCCATTTTTTAATTGTGAAAATAAGTAACGCCATCTAATAGGCTGAACTTTTAAATGAGCTATTTTCTCTGGAATAGTACATTGGCCAATCTTGGGACCTGCATATTCGTAATTAACGCGCCAAAAACTATAAAATAAAGAACTAATCTAGATTCAAAAATTTTTTGAATAAAGTTGGCCACTAGCCTATAGGCATTCTTGGCCACATTCTTTATTCAGAATACATTCTGAATCCTGACTTTGATATGGTTCAAGAAAACTACTTGCGATAGAAGGTTACCACATACATTAAACGCGTTTGTGTCCTTCAATGGTGTCGATCTCGACCGGTTACCATCCTTTTTCTAGACATGTTTCTTCGGCTGTTGTTTGACTTTGAAGATCGTGCGGCAGGCAGTTATCTCAGTTGCTCTGACGTTATTCTTGCGACTTATGCTTGTAAAATATATGCTTATAACGTTGATGAAGGATTGTAATGACAACATTTTTTCGAGACTATTTGTAGCAGATTATAAATTTCGATTTAGGTGACTTCAGTCTATCATACACGACAGAATGTAGCGATACACATTACTTGTCGTATTTCTCATATCGCGCGTGAGAAGACATTCAGTTTCAGTTAATAACCTACTCTTCTTAATTCTTGAGAGAAAACATAGAATAATTTTTAATAGATTTCAAATTAATAGTCGTTCAAAGAGGATTATTCTTTTGATAAGAGTTTTCGCTTAAAATATGGGATTACAGGGGATATAATCTTAGTTAAACTAGAGTTTTTCATAGTGAAATAATGGTAATTATCCATTTTAACGGTGCAACCTCCTATGACCTTGACATATGTTATAGAGGTCACCCTCCTGAGTAACCCTTAAAAAGTTTTAGGCGCTCATTGTTTGTTAAAAAGTTATTAATAAAAATGTTTTTTTAACGGAGCAACCTCCAATGACCTTGACCTTGACATATGTTATAGAGATCACTCTCCTGAGTAACCTTCAAAAGATTCTAACTGTCGCTCGTTATTTATTAAAAAGTTATTGACAAAAAAAGTTTTATTAATGCCATGTAGTTTTGCGACACTGCATAGATTGTTGTGTACATATATTAGTGTACATATATTGTTGTATACATATATTTATAACTTGAAACCCACCCTCTAGCGATAAATAGCTGTAGCTTTGATAATCGTCAACTGTAATGATTGAACAAGACATCATTTATAGTTTTGACTTCTGTCATAATATTCAGTATATAAAAGTTTGTGTTTGTGACAACAACATAGTTATTTACTGCGAAGAAAATATCTGAATTTCAACCAAATAAGCATCATTTGTGCGAAGCTTTGCTTTTCTGTTTCAATTTGAAGGAAACTGCTGCTGAATCTCATCGAATGTTTGTTGAAGCTTATAGGGAACTTGCTCTATCGGAAACAACTTGCAAGGAATAGTTTCGACGATTCAAACTTGGTAATTTTGACACGAATGATAAAGAACGTCCAGGCTAGCAAAAATAAATTCGAAGATACAGAACTGCAAGCATTGGTTGATGCAGATCTATGTCAAACACAAAATTAACTTGCAGAAACGTTGAATGTTACTCAAGCAGCCATTTCCAAGCATTTAAAAGCCATGGGAAAGAAAGGAAGATGGATGCCATATACAAGGAAGGAAGATGGATGCCATATAAATTGAAAGAAAGAAACATCGAAAAACCATCTCCGAAATACTACTTGCTAGGCCAAAATGAAAGGGGTTTTTGCATCGAATTGTGACTGGCGATGAAAAGTGGATCTATTTCGATAACTCCAAAAAACCACTTGCGACCCAGGCCAACCATCGACATCGACGCTAAAACGCAATATTCATAGGAAGAAGGCCATGCTCTTTGGTGGGACGTATAGAAAGTATATTATGAAATACTGAAACCTGGTCAAACAGTCACAAGGGATCTCTACCAACAACAAGTAATCCGTTTGAGCCGAGCACTGCGTGAAAAACGACCAGAATATGAGACAAGACAGCATAAAGTAATCTTGCTTCATGACAACGCTCGATCTCACGTCACTGAGGGCGCTGTCCTTACTGACGCTGTCAAGGAAACATTGGAAGCACTTCGTTGGGAAGTGCAACCCCATGCGGCTTATTCACCAGACTGTGCCCCTTCCGACTACCACTTGTTTTGGTCGATGGCACACGCACTTACAGAGGAACACTTCAACTCATATGAAAGCGCCGAAAAATGGGTCTCTAACTGGATAGCCTCTAAAGATGAGTCGTTCTTTCGCCGTGGAATCCGCTTATTACCAGAAAGATGGGAAAAAGTCATATCTAACGATGGCCAATACTTTGATTGATGTATTTTTTCATTTGTTTCTTAATTTTTGCAAAAAAAGGCGGGTTTCAAGTTATAGACCTTAAATACGCACAGTACACGTATATGCGCGTATTAATAAAAAAAAGTGCTTGTTCCTAACCGTGTGACTGGGAGGCTACGCCTCCCAGACCCTCTGCATCGCGGCGGGGGGGGGGGGGGGGG